CAGTGTCACTGGCCCTCATATGTGGGATCCGAACCGGGGCCCTCTGGCGTCCCAAGCGAGTTCTTAACCATCGCGCCACTCGGCCGGCCCCTGGGTGCCCTTTTAGAAGATCCCCTCCCCCGCCCCCCCCCCACGGGAAGGGTGTTCCCCCAGTAATGCTGGAATCAGGAGCTGTTTATTGAACAGAAGATGCATTTGAATTCTAAACTCTGGCATATTTTGGGTTGTCAGAAAAGTCATGACGCGTGTTTGCAATAGGTGGCACTAGTGCATTTTTGGAAGTACTAGAGTCATTCGCATCTATGTTGTTGCTATGTCATTTGACAGCTGACGGTTCCAGCTTCATTATGAAAAAAAACTAAGCTATTTGGTTGAGTTTTGGAGATTTTACAAAAAGTTGAAGATGGAAGACCAAACTACATTTTTGCCATATTTTACTGTTTTACTTCCATAAAGGGAAGAACGCACATCAAGCTTGTGAAAAGTTGCCCACAGTTTACGGTGACAATGCTCTACAAGGACGTCAGTGCCAACGATGGTTCACGAAATTCCGTGCTGGTGATTTTGATCTCAACGACACTCCTCAGTCAGGGAGGCCCACTGAGGTTGATGACGACAAAATAAAGGCATTGATCGAGTCAAAACCATGTTACACGACACGAGAGATTGCAGAAACATTGAACATCCATCATTCAAGCGTTCACGACCACCTGAAGAAGCTGGGATACGTAAGCAAGCTCGATATTTGGGTTCTGCATGAACTCAAAGAAGTTCATTTGGCAGCGCATATAAACATCCGCAATATGCTCATTAAACGTGAGGAAAACGATCCTTTTTTGAAGCGACTGATAACTGGTGATGAGAAGTGGATTGTTCACAACAATGTGGTGCGCAAACGGTCTTGGTCCCGACGTGATGATTCGCCTCAAACTACATCGAAAGCAGACATTCATCAGAGGAAGGTTATGCTCTCAGTGTGGTGGGATTTTAAAGGTGTTGTGTTTTTCGAGTTCCTACCAAGGAACCAAACAATCAATTTGAATGTGTACTGTCAGCAATTGGACGGTTTGAACGAATCCATCATCCAGAAATGTCCAGAGCTTGTTAACTGTAAAGGAGTTGTGTTCCATCGCGACAAATCGAGGCCACACACAAGTTTGATCACCCATCAAAAATTATTGGAGCTTGGATGGGATGTGTTGCCGCATCCACCATACTCACCTGACCTTGTGCTGTCAGACTTCCACTTGTTTAGCTCTCTTCAAAGCTCCTTGCGTGGTATAACGTTCAATTCAGATGAGGCTGTAAATCAGCACCTTGTTCAGATTTCGCTGATAAAGACAGGTCCTTCTATGAATGAGGAATTATGAAGCGCACTGAAAGATGGCAAAAGGTTACCGAACAAAACGGGCACTATATCATTGATTGATCTTTGTTCTTTATATAAATAAATGACCTTTGAAAAACATACACAAAATACGTCATGACTTTCCAACAACCCAATAAAAGAAAATTAGGCACGGTTTATAGAGAGAGAGAGGAAGAGAGAATACCTGGGGATATTTCTAGAGAAAAGGGACAGTTGGCAGAAACCACAAGTCAGGTTCTGGGGTCCATTTGTGCTGTCAGAGCCAATTGTATGCCCTGCTGCGGTTTTGTAGATAGAAATGACCCATAAGCCACAAGCAAACTCCTCTTTGTCATGTGGGCCCATCAAGGCCGCACGTGGCTGTTACTGCGAGTCATTGGCTCGCGCACGAGGCCAGACAATACCTCTTATTCCACCTTCAGCCTGGTGGCTGGAGCCGAGAAGGGTCCCCAGAACCTCACGTCAGCTTCCTGGAGTGTCCCTGGGTGTCCGACACAGGCCCTGGGACACGTCATCGGTTTGTGTTTTCAGTGTCTCCAAACACAAGAAGGCGGCTTTGCTTAGCCCCGTCTTCCAGCTCACGGAACAAAGGATGTGACAGACCTCGGTGTTCAGCAAAGGTTTGCTCACAGTTGTTTGCAGGAGTAAGTACAGGCTCAGGTTCGCAGCTGTGCAGGACTCACGTCAAACTTTAAAATGTTGGAAGGGTTCCTGGGCGGCTCTTCTACCCTGAACTGTCATTCTGCCAGGGTCCCCGGGGGTCCTGGTTCTCTACTTTCACATTCTTTGGGATCATTCTGGTTGAGAGGAACGATTTGTTCCAATGTGAGGGTAAAGCTGTTTTTGCAGCCCCTGAGGTTGGGTTGTCACCACGGTGGCTGAGAAAGAACAGGGAAGAGCATAGAGGCGAGGGTCTTTGAAGACGGAGACGGCGAACGAGGGGCTGCCTGCAGTGCCCGCCTGGCTCCCGGCGTCACAGGGCGTGCGGACAGGAGCACGCACACCAGGCAGACACCACGGAGACGGCGCCTCACCCGTGGGTTTGCTTCGGGATGGACTCCGAGGCAGGACGCTCGGCTGTGAGCAGCTATCGTCGGCATTGCATTTCCCAGAGGAAACCTGGGCGGCAGAACATGCTCTAGATATTTCCTTTTTTAAACAAGTTTTGTAATCTTCTGAGAATTGTTTTCCAAGATGGCAGGCAAGGGCAGTGTAGCTGTATCCATTAGCAATATGAGAAAAAATACAAGAAACCCCGCAAAAAACAGTGTGCTCCTTTCACCCAGCGGTTCTGCTCTAGGGACCTAAGAAAGATGCCTGAATATTCATCATGGCAGCAGGTGTCGCCCTGAAGACTGGAAACGACCCAAACGTGCTTCGGGAGAGGATGCGTGAGTCGTCAGCCGGGGGCCTGGAATGAGGCCACACTCAGAAGCGGGCTGAGATGTGCGGCAAAGAGAAAGAACAAGCTACAGAACAGTGTGGAGAAGACGGCCTCGTAAAAAAGGAAGGAAACCGCCCCCAGGCTGCGCGCCCCATGGACGAACAAACGTTCCGTTGTGTGTGTCTGGTGTGTGTGTGCTTCCAGCTTCCTCTTTGCACCCGCAGACCTCAGCTCTGGCTGCCGCCAGGGGAAGGAGACGACGTTCACTTTCCACTTTGTGTAAACCTGTGTTACACAGCTTTTCACAAGGACAGGTTGCTTCTGCAATACGAAATAGCTACCGAAGAAAAAACAGACAAGTGTTAGTCCAGGCACAGACGGTTCCATGGCCTCCTGGAGGGCCCCAGAGCCACCTGGTTCTTGGTCCTCTGGTCCGGACTCAGAATCCATCCCGTTTCCTTGCTGGGGGCATCGCACTCTGGTGTTGGGAGCGCCCTTGCTCGAGCGTAGCTGGGACCAACCCCCGGGAGTTCTGCTGGAGTGTGGCCAGCGGGAGTCTGTCTTCACCGCGGGACGGAGCTAAACTTCCTTCTGTACACAAAGTCAGCTTCATCGGCCTCAAGCTTGTTGGGAGTCTGTCTGAATTGGTGAAAAAGCTGAGTGACAAAACATGTTCTGCAAATAAACTGTCTTATAGGAAAGTTTTACATCCGTATAGTCCCGAGCTGGCCGGAATCAACCTGGGGACTCAATGGAGAGATGTCTACTGGGGACCTGCTGTAGAGACCATGTTACTTGCATCTGTGGCAGCCATGGTGTCATCCGTGTGCGAGTCGGTTTTTAAATTGCTCAAGCGGAGATCGCATTCCTGTGGGTGGCCCTCCTGTTTCCTCCGGTACCCCATGTGTGTCCGAGCAAGTGGACACTTCGACCCGTCTCCATCTGATCACCCACGCGGTGTCTGTGGGTGGGGCCGGGTGAGCAGCCCTCGCCGACAGCACAGAGGAATCGGGCCTTTGAGCAGCTGGTGCCAGCTCCCTCAGCTGCCTGCCTTCTGGTGTGGAGACTGGACGGGGTGTCCTGGAGTGGTGTCCTCGACACTCCTTCACCCCCGCCCACCTCCTGCAGTGTCGCCTTGGCCCCTCTGGATTGCAGCCCCCCGTGTTTCCTCTCTGCCCAGACCTCCCTCCTCAGCCTTCCCCACCGGGAACCTTTACTCACCCTCATCCCATAGTGATGCCCCCGTCTCTGGGCTTGGGTTCTGGAACATTCCATGCCACAGGGTCTTGCATTGGTCTGTGTTTGTCCATTGTACTTTCGGCTGCACCATGGCTCCCGACCCCCTAATGTCGCCCTGGCCCAGCTCTGTCCCGTATACTCTGACCCAGCTCTCTCGGCCCCTCTGTCCACAGGGTCCCCCTGGACGCCCAGGTCTTCCTGGGGCCGATGGGCTGCCTGGCCCCCCTGGAACCATGCTCATGCTGCCTGTGAGTATCATCATTTATGGGGGGGGTGGCTCAGGACGCAAATGCAACAGGGAATGGGGCCCTGAGCTTTGTTTCCCAGGGGCACACTCTCCTAGCCACAGACTCCCCCCAGCCTGGGCCAGCTGTGTCTTAGAGGCAGGCTCCTCTGGGGGTGTCCAACCTTCACAGAATAGTGGACACCAGTGGTCGAGGTCTCCACCTCCACTGGCATCCAGGGCCCACCTAAGAGGGAATGGACTTGGCCTCTGCCCCTGTTGTCAGGCGCCCACTGTCACTACTCAGACCCCCAGTGGGCATGCTGCCAGCTGGTCCCTCCTTGAGCCTGACCTGCCATGACCTTGTGGGTGAAGGTCACAGGGCCACTCCTTCATGGGAGCCCAGGCCCGGAGACAGAGTATGTGGCTGGTCTGGACATCAGTCTTCTGACTGACGTCAGTTTTCCCGTGAGCCCATGCTGCCTGCCCGTCTAATGCCGGGAGGCTGGGCGCAGCTCAGGGTCACCTGGCGTGGAACCGGGACTACCCTGGCGAGGTCTCCTTAGCACAGGTTTTTGCATGGGCCGTGGCTTTTCCTAAAGTAAATAGGGCCCGTGGGGTCTCAGGGTGAGATGCCACAGGGACGGCTTCCCAAACATGGTGGGGGTTCTCCTGGAGGCCCCAGGGCTGAAGTTGGCAGGTGGGGCTGGGACAGCTCTGTGCTGGCTGAGTAGGGGGGAGCGTGCACAGGGAGGGGTCTGGGGCTAAAAGCTGCCCAACCAGACCCTTGGAGGCGCTGCTGTCTCCCAAGAGGCTGATGGGTACCGCCTCGACCCCGAGGTCCAGTGTGGGCACCCACATCAGTGCACCCTTGGTGACCCCTCGTCCTATACCTGCAGTTCCGGTTTGGAGGGGGTGGTGATGCCGGATCCAAAGGCCCCATGGTCTCAGCCCAGGAGTCCCAAGCTCAAGCCATTCTGCAGCAGGCCCGGGTGAGTGACAGCCGGGCCCCAGGGGCTGGGGCTGGGGCGGGAGGATGGAGCCCCGCCATTCTGCGGCAGGCCCCCCGTGAGCGGTCCCTGCTGAGGCTGGGCCGAGCCAGACACCTCTGGGGGAGAGCCCCTGTGAACCCCAAAGCCACTCGCTCAGCCTGGGGGTCCCTCGCCGCCTTTGCCTCTTACTGCTCTGCTCTGCACATTAGCTGATGGGTGGGCTGAGTTTCTGATTGATGAGGCCCACTGTTGATTGCCTGTGATGAGTGCAGCCGCCACCGTGGGGTGGGGGTGATCCTTCAGCACAGCGCCCCTAGTGGGCGTCGCCAGGAGCGCTAAGTAAGCCCTTGTTTGGCCATATTGCGGTGGCTCCCCGCCTGCAGGGTAGAGCCTAATGATCAGAACACGTAAGTGCAGGACGGCTCGGAGCCGGGTCGTTGCGATGGAACGAATTGCCCGAGTGATGCAGTCCGTGCGTAGCAAACCCCATAGCTGCACCTGGGTTCATTGACAGGCCTGCCCGCTGGCCTTTCGATCTGGCTGCATGTTCATAGGAGCCAGATGGGTGATGGGCTTACAAATAGTAGGTTTTTATTTTGCGAAAAGTCTTACAAAATGGAAGTGTCATTGTGCGTTGGGACACCGTGGCACATGGGCGCAGGCAAGGTCCTTTAAGAGGGCAGGCTGACTGCTGTGGCAGGTGCCACTGCCCCATGGATGGAGCCGGGGGCCGGGGGCCAGGGCCAGGGTGTAGGCGGGCAGGCGAGGGGGCCCCGGCCGCAGGTAGCTGCACCGGTCCGCAGTGGCTGGGCTATAGCAGCTGCCGCTTCTGGGACTGGTTTAGTTCCCCCTCAGAAGGGCTTCCCAGTCACTGGAGGGCGCTAGAAGTGCCTCTCAGAATAAAACGACACTCAGTGTGAACGAATGCATGTGTAAAACATCTTCCCCAGCCGAGCCCAGCCCGGGAGGCTGCGTGGTAAGCTCGCTCCCGGGGGGAAGGGCTGGGAAGCAAGGAAGGAGGTCAGCGAGACGCGCCGAGCACCCCCGTGGACGGAGCGCCCCTCCCAAAGAGGGGAGTAGGCACCGACCCGGGCTCCTCCTCCACCGCCTCCATTCCATTTGTGGTTGGTGCTGAGAGCCCCAGAGCAGCAGAGAGGGGGTTCTGGGGCTCCACCCGACCTCCTTCTCCAGAGGCTCCTGTCCTGGGTCTCTCACGTCGGCCCCTTCCCGGAGCCTGGCCGTCTCCCCTGTCAGGACCAGTACTCCAGCCGTTTCTTAGCCGGTCCGGTTTTCTCTTGCAGTTGGCGTTGAGGGGACCAGCTGGCCCAATGGGTCTTACTGGGAGACCCGGCCCTGTGGTAAGTCGTTGGCAGGGGGGAGCGTAGGGGTGCACGGTGAGTGGAGGGGCGTCCCTCCTCACCCCTGCCCTTTAGTCTCCCAGCTCCTTGTGGAGAGGACTCCCTTTAGGTGGTCATTAATCCTATCACTGGCACCTGGGGTGGGGTGGGGAGAGGGTCCTGGGCAGGGGGGAGGGCCTGCAGTGGCCTGGGGAGCCCCCATATTTACACTGGCTGTGATTTTTGCTCCTGAACCCGGGGCTCCAAGCCTCACCTTGTCAGGGTGTCACCATTCTTTACAGTCATGTTTCCAAAGTCACGACTGCATCAACGAGAGGCAGACTTGGGGTGCCGGTCCTCCATGCCCTGACCCTGCTGCACAAGCTGAGCGCAGTGTGTGCCAGCGCAGGGCCTGCACATGGCATCTCCAGGGCCTGCGCGTAGCCCTGGTAGTTTGCAAGGAGACAGAGGACTTAAACGCGTGGTGCCCGCACCGCCGTTCCCTCGGAGGGGTGGACTTGGCCTGTTGCCAGTGCTTGCCTATCTGTGTGGCTCAGGGCCGTTCTCCATCCAGGCATCTTGCCTTGAAACAGGCCTGGAGCATGTCTACACGTAGCCCCCAGCCTGGGGCAGTGACACCCCAGGGTCACATGCATCCCAGAGAGAGACACCACCTTCGCCATGAGCTTGTGGCTCTTGTCCGCTCCACTGTCCAGAATTTTGTTCAAAATGAGGAAGAGATCCAGACAATGAACCGTTACTGCCCATCTCTCGGGTTGTGTCCGAGGCAAGCAGGCTGGCTCCGCAGGCTGAGAGTGATGCGGGCCTGCAGAGGGAGCCCTGCCTGCTGGCAATCCTGCCCGGCCAGCAACCCTGAGTAGTTTCCGTGGTCCCCACCGCGCCACCCCGCGGCCTTTACCTGCCGAGTTTTCTTTAACCAGACGTGTCTCCCTAGGGCCCTCCCGGGAACGGAGGTTTGAAGGGCGATCCGGGAGACATGGGCCCTCAGGTACGTAGGCACCTTGCTTTGGCTGTTTGAAGGGGCACCTCCTATGTGCATTGGAGGCCACGACTGTGGGGTTGGCGGCCCCCAAATGCTGCATTTCTTCAAGGAACGTAGTGGGAATTGTTGCTTAATGCAAAGCTGGATGTGGAACAGAAATAACTGATATTTGAAGTGGGCATGAGCTGGCGGGTTTCAGTCCCCGGCCCTCACTCGGGGCAGTGGGCCCTGTGCCCTGATCTGGGGCCGCCCACAAGTTGGCAGCTGGGAGGACGGGCCACGGGCCAGGTGACAACAGGGGGACAAGGCTTTTCCTTTGCCTCTGAGAAACATGGATATGCAGCTGACTCTTTGCCTCTGACTCTGGACAGGGTCCCCGAGGTGTGCAGGGCCCGCCCGGCCCCACAGGAAAGCCTGGGAGAAGGGTGAGTGTTTTTCGGCGCAGTGACAGCCCCTGGGGCACCGATGGGGTGGGAGTCTGCAGTGGGTTTGCCCCGCTTGCCCGCCCTGCAGACCAGGCTCGGCTGCGGGAAGCCCGCTTGCCAGCTCCCTTCAAAGGGCACGTCTGCCTCCAATGCTGGGGTCCCATTCCACTGGGGGGTGTCTCCTGGGGCTCACCTGCCTCTGCCGCTCCAGCCTCCGTCCTGAGCATGATAATTTACAATAGCTTAGCAAATATTTTTAATCAAAGCAATTTCCCAGGCTCCTTAGGAGCAAGCGTTGAGAAGACAACATTTTGGCGGGGCTTATTTCAGCCTTGTTTCTCCACAAATGGCGAAACCCTGGGTTTGGGGTAAAGGGCCAGAGAGCCACCCAGGCCGTCCTGCAGCTCACCCGTTGTCCTAGCTACCTGGATTCTGCTTGGGATGGAATTAAATGAATGGAACCAGTTTGTTTCTATAGGACCACACTGACTGAAAGAGGGCTGCCTTTATAAATTAATGTAAGTTAATGAGCAGTGATCCTCATTAACCCACATCATGCTCCTACAAGTGGATCTTTTCAACCAGTGAACGTTTCTAGGACGTGAAAAAAATTGGTGTTCTTGTGTTGTGTTAGGATGAGCCTCTTCAAGGAATGTCCTCCACTTAAGCCGCCAGCTCCTGCCCTGGTTTCAGAGTGTGCACGGCAAGGATGAGCAATCCCTTAGCGGTTACAGGTCCTCCCGTCGGGGACTTAATTGTCGTCCATAGGTGGGGGTGGCAGAGGAAGCACAGCTGAGCACGGCGTTGTCACACGGGCCCATCGAGGCCGCAGGTCGCCGGATCTGTGGGGATCCAGGCACCTGGCCAGGGCTGGACTAGATGATTCAAAGAGGACCTCCAAGGCTGGAGTTTGGTGACTCTTGGTAGACAATTTGGTTTATCTTAGATCTGATTCTGAAAAGTGTTTTATTTCATTACGTTTTCCTATGGATCTCTGTAAGCATTTATCAAGTTTTGCTAGAAACAGTTTCTCAGTGAAGGTGAAAACCGAAAAGAAACAAGATGAGGAATGGCTCGTGAAGCGACTAGCTGTCGAGTTAAATGGCACCAGGGCCATGAAGGTGCATGCTGTTGAAGGAGTGACCTTCGTCCCCAAGATCTGCTGGGAAGCGGAGCTGGCAGGAGGCGGCTGGGCCGGTGGCGGGCTCCGCAGTGGTGCGCCCGTGTCCCCGGTCCTTTGTAGGGCAGCCCGCGAGGAGCCAGTCACCGAGCGATGGGAGCCTCTGCGCGTTTGCCAGGCAGTGTCGTGCTGTGACACTGTGGGAACTTTTCTGACAACTTTCCCTTCATTTCTGGAAGTGTTTGGAAGTTTGAAAAGAGGCTCCCCATTGGTGCCCCCTGGCATCACGTCTACATTTCGCCCGGAGCTGTGTCACTTGGGTGCCTTTTCTGAGATGAGTTTTCATGCCTGGCAGCTCTCATAACCTTTAACCTGGGGGAGCACAGACCATCTCCTATGGCCCCCCCACACTCTTTGCTTCCTTTTCCTCCGGTGCTGCCCACACTGTGTTGCACTTTGAGACCGAAAGTGGCCACTCTCCAGGTGTTCTCTCTGCTCGTCACGCGTCATAGGTGATGGCCTCGTGTGATCAGGTGCACAGGGGCCCTGGAGCAGAGACAAGCTGCTGACCTGGGCCAGCTCTTCACACTCAGCTGGCTGACGGTCCTTCCTAGCCAGTGCGGCCGAGTCCCTGTCCCTGTCTGGGTGACCTCGAGCCTGGTGGGGCTCTCCTGAGGACTTTAGAGTGGACACTGGTAGGGCTGAGCCCTGCCCTGCAGCTCAGGTGGGGACCACGGGCTTGTTCCCGGCTGCTTCCATTGCTGGAAGTAATGGCCGTTGGAGTGGCCTTTGCGAATGGAATGTCTTGCTCACAGCCCAGACCCTGCCTTTGGGTAGCTGTGTGGCCTCAGTGACACAAGCCTCCCCTCCGAACCTTAGTTTCCCCTCTAGTCAATTGGGCTAACACCAGGTGCTCGCTGTCTGTCACCCTGTGATTATCTGGTCTTTAGTTTGACTTTCGAATGGTGGAAAGTGAACGTGTGGTAGGCTGATGTCAAGGGCACACTCTCTCCTGCACTGACAGTCAGTTGGCAGTCCTGCAGACTGACGTGGCTTCTTAGTCAATCCTCCAGCGAGGCCTCACTGCCACCTCATGCCATCATCTCCAAACACGGGCAAGAGGCATTACCCTCTCCTGGTGGTTCAGGATGGCAGGGCCTGGAAGGACCAGAACCATGCGTGAGCACCCAGCAGTCCCCCGACTCCGGCCCGGCCACACGGGGCTGGGGCAATCTCCCTGGAAGCCACTGCTCAGAGGTCTCGTTTGTGGTGACGCTTTTGCCTTCGTCTGTTCCAGGGGCGGGCTGGCAGTGACGGAGCAAGAGGGATGCCTGGACAGACTGGCCCCAAGGTAGGCTGCCACTTACTGCCTCCCGGTGTCCTGGTACCAGGTCACCATCATTGCTGTCGTGCATTGCATTGTTGATGACGTGGCCAATGTACTGGTTTTAATGACGAATATGATTATGATGACAAATAATGGCTTGTGATGCTTGCAACCATCTGAGGGTAGGATCGTGGGGGTGAAGAAGTTCTATTTGGGTCACTCTGGCATGTTGACATGAAGATGGGTTGGTGGGCGCCTCTGACAGTTGGCAGTCGGTTAGGTGGCAGATTTGCTCCTTTCAAGTGAGTGGTGAGCATGAGGGGTTGGAACCCCAACTATGAAAACCATCCACGAATGTACAGATGACAAGGTCACATACATGGGACTGACTGATGACGGGGAGGGGTGGCCTTGACGTTCTCAGGCTACTTACAAGTCCCAGGGCCAGGAAGTCGCCTGCCCAGACCTGGGCTCCTTGGTGTTGGGGGTGAGAAGAGACACTGCCTGTGGGTGAATGCAGGAGCTGCAAGCGTGCAGCCGGCAAAAGCTGCAGCCGGCACACCAGCTGGAGCCCATGGACACCCCCACTCCCTCCCGGCTGCCGTGGTTCCACCGTGTGGCCGTCCGTCTGCCCCCGACTTTGGTGTGAAGCCTTCCCCACCCCAGTTCTTGGTGCCCCCTCCCGTCTCAGCCTCTAGAAGGGTTTCTCCAAGGCCACGCCAGAGGAAATGATGACTCCCCGGTGAGGGGCCCACAGTGGGCAGCAGCTGTTTTCTGGGAGGGGCAGTGGCGAATCGGCCAGGTGTCCACTCCATCTGTTCACCTAGTAACTGGCGTGGATGGACTCGCAGGTGCCCCCAGGAGTCCTGAGCTTGTGAGTGACGTGGGGGGAAGAAAGTCTTCTGGAATGTCTTCCAATAAATCATGGCCGCCTTTTAACAACTAACGTATTGAAAGCCTGAGCGAGCCTACCCTTGACCTCACCCACATCGTTTATAACATCCGTGGGCCGGGCTCTGTTCTGGGGCTCCAGGAGGCAACCTGGGGCCGGGGGACAAAAGGAAGGCTGGCCCAGGAGCCAGGATGCCGGCCCGCCAGGATGAGCTACCGTGTGTGGGCTGCGCTCTGGGCACTGAGGGCGTAGTGATGAGTGTGACAGGCAGACAGGAACACACACACTCCAGCTTCTCAGCAGTCGCCCAAAGTACAGCCCGTCTGCGACTCTGGGGGTATCCGAGGGAGACAAGCCGGGAATAGGGACCCAAGGCACTGGAGTGTGTGGTGACAGGCAGGCCGGTTGCCACCACACACAGGGGCCTGGGGCCGAGGTTCCGTAGATACTGCCTGAGTCGGGACCCAAAACATGGCGACCATCACTGCAGGGTGGTCTCCAAGCAGCCCTCTGTCTTCCCCACAGGGTGACCGCGGTTTCGATGGCCTGGCTGGGCTGCCGGGAGAGAAGGGCCACAGGGTAAGTGCTTCCTGCCTGAGCGTTCCCGGCACGAAGGCCTGATGGGTTTTGTGCAGCAGATGTCTCTCATGAGACCCTTCCAGGGAGCCAGCTGTAGATTGCTTGTGTGGGGGTTGGGTCCCCTCAATTCCAACATGGACGCTAAAGGGACTACATGGGAGGGGAATGGAAACGAACGCAACGTGACGACTGTTGATGGAAAGTCGGCCCAAAGAAAGCAGATACTTTATCTGCAGCTTACGATGGAAGAGCCAGTGGGGTCCACTCACTGTGGGGGGCTCTTCTTCAGAAACCCACTTTCTGTTACACGGGCCTTTCTCAGCGTCAGGAAGTCCAAGTGGCTGCCACTTTGGGCGTGGCCGGGACCCTTTGCACCGTGAGAGTGGTGATCCCGGGAGGTGGGGGCGTGCGCCTGAAGGCCTGCCCTGGCTTCCTTGGCTTGAGTGTCTCCATGGGGCATTTTCTACGTTTCCTTTGGAGGAGATGATGTGTGTTTTACCTTTGGGCACATCGTGGAAGCACAGAATGCATATGCACACTCATATGCATTTGTCAGCTTTGGCAGTAAGGTTTGTCTGTCACGGTCCCTAACACACTGAGAAATGGCTGCTGTGGTTCGGCCCAAGCTGCTTCGCCCATGTTCTCTGGCAAGCACGTGGAAGCTGGAAGGGAGGCAGTCACTGGGTCAGGGCCAGTTCGTCCATCTGACTGACTGACAAGCACGTGTTGAGCACCAGCTGCATCCATGGTCCAAAGCTGTGGGGACTAGAGGCGGCCAGCGCTGACCCTCGTGGCACTCACAGTCCAGGGCGGTGGCCCTTTCCGGGGGCGGGGCGGGGCTGGGGGGGAGGTGGCAGGTGTAGCTCAGACCCCCGCTCAGTGTCCTGGGAGCTGCATGCCTGTGGCCCCGCCGGGTGCGCAGTGCAGTACAGCTGCCCCAGGTCGCTCGTTACCCGGGTGAATGTCTATAGCCAGTGTGAGCTTGTCACGCCGGCGTGCACGGCCTCCAGGTAGACCTCCTGTGACTCCAGGAAGGGATGCAGATGGTTTAGGATTTTCAGTGTCAGAATTAGCGACAGATGAAATGGGGGACTTGGGACAAGCTTGTGTGACCTCCAGGTGGCTAACCCTGATCCTGGTTGACTTCCTAGGGTGACCCTGGTCCTTCTGGCCCGCCGGGACCTCCGGGAGACGACGGAGACAGGGTACGTATCCGGTGTATCTCAGCTGCACCTGCTTGTCCGTCTCCTCAGTGACTTGGGCAGGAAAATGGCACATGAGACGCCGGCGTCAGTGAGACTGGCATGTGGGCAGTGCAAGCAGCACAGGGGACCGTGAGTGGGCAAAGGAAGGGGTGGAGAGACAGGCTGCCCAGAACTTCTGAGATAAAAGCAAGTAGCAAATGGTTTCACTGACTTCACCCTCCCCGCTGACGCGCCGCGTCCAGGAGTGGCTTTCACTCCTGAGACCATCGGAGGTCTCAGAAGGAGGGCCTCTCACTCCAGGACACAGGTGCCCAGGTGGCGCTGGGAGGACAGGTGTCAGGAGAGCTATGGCACCCGAGTGAGCATCAGAGGAGGCAGCGAGGGGCTCGAGGGTTTGGGGAGAGGAGGAAAATCGAGGTGATTTTGTGGCCCTGGAGGTGGGGAGAGACTGGGAGTGTGGGGCAGAGGGAGGCAGGGACACTGCTGTCCAAGTTTGGGGGCTGGGCCAGCAGTGAGCTGCTTACACGGGGCGCTGAACCCATTCCGGGGGGTGTCAGGTGTGTGTGCCCGGGCTGCAGGCCCTGCGTTGTCCTTAGACTGAAACACAGGGGTCCCGTGGCAGAGACACACCCTGTGGGCTTTCGACCCCACCCCACAGCCTTGTCCCTCAGGCGATTTCTTTGGGTGTGGGCAGTCTTTGCTGGGAGGTTTGGTTTCTGTCATTCACGTTTCTGTCTATCATCTGTCCGTCCATCTGCCTATTCATCCGTTCACCCACCCATCCATCCACCTACCTGCCTTATCACCTATCATCTATGTATCTGTCTCTGTCTAGTTTCTTGCTATCATCCTATCCTTCATTTCTATCATCACCTAGAAGTAGCCAAATCCTCGGATCACGTGATTTTTCCTGCCTGGCTTCCCCTCATTGGAGCGGTGGTCTGTGAGCTCCAGGGCCCCAGACCGTTTACCCGCAGCTTTCTGGGCACGAGGGTGTTCCAGGCTATCTGGCAGGTGCAGGGACTTGTAAACCTGGCCGAATGCTGAGGCCGTCCCAGGTCAGGGTCCTTCTGCACAGCTGAAGGCGACGCTACCTGTCTGGTGTCCAGGCTTTAGAGCTGGTCCCTAAATCTTGCCTCTTTTTTGCCCTGCAGGGTGACGACGGAGAAGTTGGGCCCAGAGGGCTGCCTGGGGAACCTGTAAGTCTGCTGACGGGGGGACTCTGTCCCCTTACTGTGGTGACAGGCTGTCTGAGGAGGCTGTCTCTGGGCAGATTTGGGAATAGGCTTGGAGTGTAGATTAGAGAACGGCTCTGCCTTAACACAGACAAATCTGGGGATTCCATGGGAGGGAGAGGAAGGGGCACCTAGGAGGTTGGGGGGACAGTTCTGAGGAGTCGATCCGAGCTTGCCCAGAGGAGGAAGCTCATGTCCCTGAGGGCTGTGGTGGGGCCCTCATGGTGGGCGTCCCAGGTCATCATGGGCCTCCAGGGTCATGATGGTGGGAGTCCAGGGTCATCATGGTGGGTGTCCCAGGTCATCAGGGTGGGTGTCCCAGGCCATCATGGGCCTCCAGGTCATGATGGTGGGCGTCCAGGGTCATCATGGTGGGGCCTCCAGGGGCAGTTGCAGGGCCTGAATCAGCCAGTTTCCCACCCTTTTTGATAGCCACACTTTCCAAAAAGGAGCCCCTGGGCAGCATGCCCCGGCCCGGGCATCAGAAAGCTGCTCCCGAAGCTGATTTCTACGTAGGGCCAAAGCAAATTTCCTCAGCAGTAAAAGGACATTAATTACTTTTCACTCACTGTTACTTTTCGAACATCTCATTTCTTTTATCGACATCAATGGGGCCGTACGCATCTGGTAATGTTAATTGAGGAGAAATATTGCGAACGCTGCATGGAGCAGAGCCTGGGGTCGGCACTTGCACGTTCATTTGGGACTAAATTATACCCTAGATGTCTGATTAGCCACGAAGGAGAATTCATCAACACAGCTTTCTGTTTAACACATGTCTAAGCGATACCTTCTGGGCCATTAACTTCTAAAAAAATTTATATGACTAGGTATTAAAATAATGAAGGGAGCATTTAAGTAGCAATGAACGTGGGAAGGATTTCTCATCTACTGCATCTGCGAAGGTTCTATCAAAATTAAGCGCACTTGAAGTCGCTGTGCCCCCATCAAAGGCTTCATAACCCCCCAGCAGGCGGGGCAGGAGTGAGTGATCAGGGTGGGGCCTCCTTCCCGTGGCAGGCAGTGATTCTGCCATATCACTGCTCAGACCCTAGGGACGGCGCTGCCTTGGGGCCGTGCCCACACACGTGCCCCTCGCTGCCAGGGAGGGGGCACAGTGGCCATCCCAGAAAAGCTCTGAGCTCCAGGCTTCAGCTCCATGCATTTAGTCACGATGTTCCCACCAGAGACCCACTTTCTCCCACCTCTGTCCTTGCTGCGCCCACGGACTCTGATGTCAGAGATGCAGCCGCGTATCACTGCGCAGAGCAACTGCTGAGGGAGCTGGGAACGCGAGTTGGACCCAAGTGCTCTGTGCAGCAGAGGATAACTGTGGCGTTACGTTATGTGGGAGAGCTTTTGTGCTCGCCCGCCCTGAGCGAATGTGAAAGGGCGCCCATCGAGTTGAAAGGCTCCCTTTTCCCTGAGGGTACCCCTCGATCTCCTGTCTGAGCCCCTCATCAATTCCAGGCTCCCCTGCCTCCGCTTCCTAGAGCTGAGGTGGAGAGGTGGGTGGGGGAGGAGGCGGTGTTGGACACGCTCCCTGGGCAGCGTGGAGACCTGCCACAGCAGAGACTCCGGAAGGAGTGGGGGCTGAGCGGGGCTGCACGACTTGCCTGGAGTAGGGCAGGGGTCCGGGACCCTGGGCTGAGCCTGAGCCTGCCTTCTCTTTCCTTTTGCAGGGGCCACGTGGTCTGCTGGGGCCAAAGGGTCCCCCGGGCCCGCCTGGACCTCCCGTAAGTCCTGTCACCTCTGTGCATGTCTGTCCCTTCACTGCCCTCCACACTCTGCAGCCCACCTCGTGGCCCACTCAGGCCTTCGGGCAGCCTACCGTGCTGGCCACCGTGTGCACTTGCCCAGAGCTAGTGTGAGTGTCAGCAGGTCTCTGATGCTCACGTGCAAAAGAAACTTCCCAGCAGGTGTGGGTTTGCAGGTGGAGGCGCAGAGGCCAGTAGGCTTTACACTCTCCCCTTTCCCGCATGTAGATGCCACATTTCCTCCCTGCTTGGAAGCACTTCCAGCAGCTTCTCGATAGTTCTGGAAGGAGATGGAAGCTTGTGGTTCCAGGGGGACTTTGTCCCATTGGGCAGCTTTCCCAGGGCCAGGCCTGGCCCGTCCACCCTCTTGGTCCCTTTGTCCTGCTTCCTGAGAACTCAGGGCCTGCCCCACGCGGTGTGGACCGGGCAGCTCTGCTAGCCTCTCGCCTTTTGGATTTACTTGGGATCAAGCCCTTCCCCGTCCCCAAAGGATATGCCATCCTCTGACACGTGGCAGGCAGGGGCCAAGCCCGTTGAGTGGGATTTTCCTTCTGAGCATTGTTAATTCTTCAGCATTTCGTTTCTTTAATCTCATCCAGGGCGTGACGGGTATGGACGGCCAAACAGGCCCAAAAGGAAGCATCGTAAGTCTCAGGTGTCCTGCTACCTGGCCTCATGGTGATTCCCTGGGGCTCACTTCTAGGCAGGCCAGGGCGATCTATTACCATGGAAACCAGAAGGGGTAGAGCAGGCCCGAGGGTGGGGGTCAGGGGAGAGCTTCTGCTGAGCCTGTGGGCCGGCCTTGTTCCCTCTGAAGCCAGAGGGTCAGCCCAGGTGCGGAGGGAAGTCCTTTCTCTCTGCACATGATGAGCTGTGATCAGCACGTGTGACGCCCCCTGGGAGAGGCCTCATGGGCCCTCCGTCTAGCCCGAGGGCCCTGGCAGACGTCGGCGTGGTGGGATGGCTTGGGGATGTCCCGGTCAGTTTTCCCTGTGCTTCTTCCTGGCGGCTCAGAAAACAATGAGTGCTCCTTGCATTGGGACATGGAGGCACCTGGTCTGGTGCCGCTGTCTGCCGCTGGGCCCCCTGCCTCCTCTCATCTGGGCATCCCCCTCTGGCACCCGCTCGGGCATGAGAGCAGATGGAAAGGACGAGAGGCCAGGACGGGGCGCCCAGGCCTAAGGAAGGAGGTGCAGTTACTCCTGCCTGCCCTCCACAGCCCCCTCGAGTGCCTTTGCTTTTGTTTTTTGTAGGGTCCCCAGGGAGAGCCCGGCCCCCCAGGACAACAGGGCAATCCAGGAGCCCAGGTGAGTGAGTCGGGGGCGGGCTTCTTGGCAGCAGGCTGCAGGAGGGGCAAGTCTTCAGAGCTGTGCCCTGGGCCTGAGCAGTCACTGAGCGCTGCCCCCAGCTGCTGATCCAGCCCCAAGGGGCCTGCAGCCTGGAGGTGACCTAGAACCTGGCTGGTTCCCGGAAGAGGGAGAGGCTTGGGGAAGGTGGACAGATGGCAGCGAGGGCCTCTGAGCCAACCAGGTCCTGACCTCTCCGCCCTGCTCTCTCCCTCCTAGGGTCTTCCAGGGCCCCAGGGTGCAATCGGTCCTCCAGGAGAAAAGGTAGGTGGGCTGAGCTGGCTGTAGGGGTGCCACCACCTGCCGGCAGGGTGCATCCCCCCCACCCCTGGGAAGCACAGCTCCTGCCAGAGCGCAGGCCGGTCAGGAGTGCCAGTCATCCCCGGCTTGTGACGTGACCCTTAGCCCTCCCTTAGAGGTGGCGAAGGTCATTCATTGACTTACAAATTCATTCATTCATTGGTTCATTCATTCTCTCGCTATGTAGAGTTGCCAGATTTAGGAAGAAAAATAAATATGGGATACCCAGGTAAATTTCAACTAATGTGTTTGTCTGGAACCCAAATTTAACTGGTCATCTTGTTTTGTTTTCACTAAATTTGGCAACCCTAAGTATATCCTTGGCACCTACTACTCCAAGGTGCTGGAGAGAGACCCACAAGCACGCTGGTGCTTCAGAGCTGTGGCCTGACCCCAGGCACCAGCCACTTCTGTGAACTCAAAGCGCCTTGTGGGGACCGGCAGAATGAACTCTCAGGGTGGTTCTCAGGGCGCCATGATCGCCGGGGTGGGGGGTGGGGCTTGCTGGGCGCTGCAGGGCCTGGGGCCCCTGTCTTCACCTGGTGGGTACTTCTGTTCCAGTCAGAGCCTGAAGGCCCTGGGAACAGCGAGGGGTGACCTGCCCTCACTGGTGCTCCAGGTGGCAGGATGCTTTGAAGCCGGTGGGGGCGGAGTACCTCTGAGCATCCTTTTCAGCAAACGTTCTTTGGGTAGAAGTGCTGAAAAGTAACTCCGGGGGCATGTAGAAAGGGTATACAGCCTAGGGGACCCCTGGGGTGTCTGCTCATGGAACCTCTGGTTTATTCTAGGGTCCCCTGGGTAAGCCAGGCCTCCCAGGAATGCCCGGCGCTGATGGACCCCCAGTGAGTAGTCCTGTGCCCCTCACCCTTCTCTCTCTCTCCCCCCCTCTCTCTCCGTGTATGTGTGTCTGTCTGTCTGTCTCTCTCTCTCTCTCTCTCTCTCACACACACACACACACACACACACACACACACACACATACACATGTCTGCCCCAGGGATGGGGGCTGGGAACCCAGGCCACCTGCCACCTCCCTTACTCTGGGGACGGTGATGTGTGTGTGGCATCATTCACTGTCTCCCAACTGCTTTGGTGAAGACCCATTTGAGAGCTCAAGCTGGATTGCTCAGGTAATGACTGGGTTTTGGACACACTTGCTGTAACGTGTTTCCATGAAAGAGCAGTGATCGCATGAATAGGAGCGTTCGTCATTTATTGGGGTGGACTACTTTCTTATCAGAACTCAGCCTTGCATTTTTAACTCTGTGGAGGGCTGGGCTGGGCTCCAAGTGACTGCACGTGTCACCGGTGTTTGAAGGGAAGGGCAGTGTGCACTGAGCGTATTTTTAGGGATCGCACACTGAGAAGGGAGGGTGACAAACAGATGCATTTGCAATGTGTGAACACACAGCTGTGGAGCCAAATTGGGTAACGCCTAGAAATAGCGAGTTAGTGACAAATCCAGTCGGCGTGAAGGGAGAGGAGTGGGGAAGTGACACACACTCAGAGGCCCGCGTGGGGGTGCGGATGTGTAACGGTTTATCGGCACCCACCGTCCTCTTTGTGAGTTGCTGGTGGGTTTTTGTTTTATTTTTTAGAGTATTCAGTTGACGCCTAGTGAGCCTATTTCAGAAAACAAGATTAGCCAAATTAATTATTTCAGACACAGTGATTTTGTTGTTTTAATAACATCATTAACAACTGCAAGGAAGTTTAAATACTTCAGTAATTAACTGGCGATTGTTGAACATACGACTGTCTTTGCGTTTTTGTGGCTGAGAATTGTTGGGTCCAGCGAGTCACAGACGGCCAAGCGCCCACCTTACCTGACCCAGCAACCTCCTGCCACCCGTTCCCACGGGAACCACCATGGGGCTGCGGTCCCCCAGACTTCTGGGAGTTTGGATAGGAAGTGATGCGTATTTCACAATGTGTCATTTCTGTCCTTTAATTTCTATTTACACTTAATTGCATTTTCAAATTATAAAATAGCACAACTTGTTATGGAAAGTTAGGAGAATAAATGGAATGACAACAGAATGAGAACCATCGCTGAGCCCACCCCTGTGAGTTAAACCACTGCGGGAGGTGGATGTGGCTTCTTCCAGTCATTTTTTTTTTGTTCTGTTCATTTCCTGCTATTTTTAATGTAAATGGAGCGTTTCCCACAATGTTTCAAGTCCATGGCCCTGGCTCTGCAAGTGGAGCTGCCCGGAGCCCACTGCCCTCCCCTCGCCGAACCCCCTCCCCACACTGAAACCTCCAGTGCCCTGGGGTCCCTGGAGTGTCACCAGCTCCTTTCAGATTCTGTGGGGAAACAGGGGCCTTTAAGACAGCCCTTGCCAGGGGGCCGGGGGGCTGCTCTTGTAGACTCTCCGTTTCTCTTCCCCCAACCAACATTTAAACGACAGTGCGAATGTACAGTGGACCTGAGCGTGACAGCGCTAGCTCGGGACTGAAGATGCTGAAGCAAAGGATGAAAAGGGGCGCTGCAGGCCCGGAGCAGCGAGCCAGTTTCCTAAGTGAACTTGGAGGGAAAGAAAGATTTAAAAGCATTTATTTTCTCCTTTCCAGAGGAGCGCCTTGCTGAGCTGCCTTAAAGAGAGGGTTTTCTTCCCCCGCACCCCGTGTTGGTTTGCTTTGGTTTTGGTTTTGGCTTAAGAAAGGAAGGACGGTGGACTAAAAACCCTTAAGAAGCCTGAGGTGTTTCAGAGCAGACTCGACACACTGAGATGTATTGTGCATTCATTCTGGCTAGTGCACGACAGGGAAACAGGGAACAAGTGATCATGCCAAGTAATACTACAGGGCCGGTGAGATGGCGTTTCGGCGATATTCCGTGACAGGAGACAAGGTGACCGTATCATGTTAAATAAAAACTGTGGCACGTGATGCCAATTTTGCATGCAGATGTGCTGACAAAGTAGGTTAAAGGGGCTCTTTCACACAGTGGCTTTCGTGCTGTGTGTGGGCAGGTTATGAAAGATTTTAATTTTCTTTTCCACTTACCTAATTGTCGGCAATGAACATATATTACTTTTTTAATCAGAAAAATATCAAATACAAATAATTTAAGCTTTATTAGCTTTCCCTTATAAAAGTAACGCTCATTACAGGATATTGGAAAATTGCAAACCAGTAGAAAGGTAGAGGGAAATGGCCTGGCCTTTCCTTCCAGAAAACTCGGTCACCCTTATTTGGGTATATTTCCTCTCACTCTTGTTCTGTTCAAACGTTTTTTTAGTAAGTGGGCTTTGTTCTCCCGCACCCCCTAGAGTTACTCGCATTCTATAAATACAACTTAAAATGTATCTAATGAAGTTTGACCTGAACTCAAATAGCAGTAATTTGATAATTGCTAACATTTGTTGGCCACCCTCGCTCTTTTTCATCTCAGCAACTACGTATATTATTCTGTACACCCTGTGGGTAAGGACATTGCCACATGGAGGGCTTCCTTGCTCCCCGAGGGACCACGATGTGGGGTCTGCCCTCAGTTGTGTCACTCGGACCCTGGGGCTTGGCCCACAGGCACCCCCTCCACTTCAGTTCCTGAATAGAAAAATGTCTGTGGCTGATGGAAACCAGTAAAAGCCTCCAAAAACCCATGTGGGAGGTGGGAGAGGGAGCAGGACACACTTCCCCCTGGCCAGCCCGAAGCAAAGCATCTTCTCCTGCCCCATTTGGGTCCAGCCCACCACCATGAGGTGCTGGCACCATGAGCCTTGTTTCTGGAAGGCAGTGTGGTGGGTGGTGTGTCCCCTCTGGGCTGGAGCAGCAGACGTGGTCCTACCTGTCTGATTTCCCGCACAGGCTGGCACCACCAGGCTCCCCGAGGGCACCCACCCTGCAGAGGGGCTTGACACCCTCCCACTCGCTTTGTTACCATGATAGGCTGTTGGCAATTGCATCAAGTCCAATTGCACAACTAGTGAAAACTAAGAAGAACACACACACACCCTGTTTTTTCAAAGAGATGAGATTTGGGTCTCTGCGATGCTGCCGTGGGCTAGAACAGAGTCCTGGGTCTTTAGAACACTCAAGCTGCAAGAGCCTCCGGCCCACCTCTCATCTTACACATGAGACAGTTGAGGCCCAGAGAACACAGGTGACCTACCCAAGGTCACACAGCGGGTCAGGTGTAACCAGGAGTAGAACCAGGCGGGCCCGGGGGTGGAACTGTATTCCCCGACAACACTTATCTACCTGCTTTATCATCAGTGTTTGCCTCGCGAACTCAAAGGCATGAAACCTAGTGGCCAGCTTGGGTGGGAAAGTCACAGAAGCTCAAATTCCTGAGAATGGAGTTGGTCATGGTTGGGTGGGCATGTAGCCAAGGGGCCATAGCCATGTCCACGGGGCTTCAGCTCCGCATCTGCAGCATGGGGGACAAACCCCCCGCCCCCAGCGCCCCCCTCCATCTGCATCACCTGGGTGGGGGTAGTGACTGACGCCTGCATGAAGACCTGGGAAGGTCGAGGACCAAGGACCCCTGGCCCAATGGCAGGAAGTGGCCCGCCCGGCCCCTGCCCTGTCTTCACCCCCCCGACAGTGGAGGTGCTGTGATGGGCAGGCAGCACCCGATCGCTAGTCCAGGAAGCAGGGCCCAGGGGTACGGCCCCTCTTCATTGCTCCTTGTTTGGTCACAGATTCGTTTTGCTGAGTGACCTTGAACAAATGCCCTTGTCGTTGCTGTTCCCGCTCACCCACAGTTGGGGCGGGCTGGGCTCTGGCAGAGTCAGGTGACACTGGCGCGCATGGTGCCTGCAGCACACCTGTGGGTTTCAAAGCACAGGCCTCTCTATGGTCAGCTCCAGCCAGTGCCAGGCCTGGGTCTTCCCACTTCACTGATGAGCAGCCGAGGGCCAGGGGCTAACGGGCCAGCCCGGCCCACGTGCCTGGGCGTGACCGAGCGTGCTCGGCTACCTGTTGTCTTCTAGCGCTCCCCGGTTTTGTTTTCATGGGGAGGGAAGGAGATGGGGGGGACCCCGGCTTCCTCACACCGTAAGACTGCTGCGGGGAGGTGAGCATCAGGCGGCCCGCTTGCTGAGTGGCCACTGACTAACGCAGGCCTGTTCTTTCCTGACAGGGGCACCCTGGCAAAGAAGGCCCTCCGGGAGAGAAGGGAGGCCAGGTGGGTACACCGCATGCCGCCCCCCTGCGTCCCCACCAGGCCAGCCTTGGGGGTCTCAGCCCCCCTCTGCTCTGGGACACCCGCTCAGACGGGAATGGGCAGGACAGCTGTGCCCGTCCTTGGGTGGCTATGCTGAGGGGACATCCCACCAAGAAGCCGGGTCCTTCCCCACCCTCAGCTTCTGCACACAGGGTGCAGGTGCAGCTGCCCTAGACCAGGCAGTAACTGGGCGCCGGGGCAGGCTCTGGGCCACGGCTCCTCCTGATGCATCGCCATTGTGTGGTGGAGGCCAAGATGGGTAGGGGGAAAGCTGGTTCGAGTTTCCAGGTGGCCTGAGCTCCTGGGGACTTGCCCGCTGCACTGACGGTGGCAAAAGCCCGCTGCTGGCCCGTCCTCCCGCCTCCCCAGGCCCGCACCTGCTCCAGGAGCCGTGGACGGTTGTCAGCTGGTCTTGCCTGCCTTTAATGACAACCTGGCCCTTCCCAAGCCTCAGAGCCCCTGTTCCGCATCACCACTCCCCACACCCCATCCCTGAATCACGGGCGTGTGACCTGAGATCGCTTGGTTCCGAATGTTCTCACGCATCTGAAAACACATGTGCTCCTGCCCTTACCGTGGGGCTGGGGACAAGTGCCCGTGGGAACTGGCCCTGTGTGTCTCCTTCGGGGGCCTCTTCTGAGAGTGACCTGGGATGTCCCCTCTGCTCCTAGCAAGAGAGGAATTTGCTGGTGGAGGGCAAGCTTTCCAGCTTGTGCGGGAAGGACCCAGGGGTGGACCAGACAGAGGCATGCTCACCTGCCTGAGGTAGAGCTAATGGCCTTTTCCCTTTGGTTTCAGGGTCCACCTGGTCCCCAGGGCCCGATCGGCTACCCTGGACCTCGAGGAGTCAAGGTGAGATTCTTGCCCTGCAGGTCCACCAGGAGGCTGGGGTTGGGCCTGTGGGCACTGCACGGCCGTGTTTGAGAATTCTTCCATGGTTTCACCTCCCTCTTGCCCAGACGGGAGCCCTGTCCTCCCAGTCTGTGTGGGGGATGCAGGGTCCCAGACAGCGGGCCTGAGCAGGGGAGGGAGTGACCAGCCTGCTGGTCACCCAGGAAGGGCTGATTCACAGCAGGGGACAATTCCCAGTGCATCTGTGACAACAGAGGTGGCATGGTGGTGGCCATTAGTCATGACAGGATGCATCCTCCTGCCTCATGCTACTTTTATTGTCACTATTTGTCAAGCTCCCGGCTGCTGTCCAAAGCCCCTGAAAGACAGTCAGTCACCTCAGCCGAGGTGCAGAGCCTGCATTTCCTGGGGACATTTGCACATTCGAGTGAGAAAGAGTCTGGCGCCATCGACAGCATCTGGGCAGCTGAGGGGTGTGGGGGGGTGAGTCTGCGGAACATGTCCATTTATTCACAGTTGTGTTTCTGCTGTTGAAAGGCCACTGGAATCTTGTTACCACGGGCACAGAGCTCCACAACAATATCCCAAGCAAGGTCCCGTCTGCTCTGGCGTCGCTGTGTTTGCTCTGAGCCGTGGAGTATAATCTCCAGTTAGGCCACTCTCTGGACATGCTAGGCACGCATATACTGAGAGGCAGGTGTCCCCGGAAATTGCCGGAGCAGGGGAAGCACTCCTGCTTCTCCCAGGACGGGCACGCTGCCGCGTCTGAGAGCGCTAGGTGATTCGGGAGCTTTGAAAAAGCTAGTGGTGATTCTTTCGAAATGACTTTGACTTGATGTGGAGGAAAATCCCTGAAGACGAATATAAGAACCAACTAGCTTAGCTTGGGGGGTTTGCATGACACGCCCCGGCTGTGGGTTCACGGTGCTTCGTACTTTCAAGCATCTGTGTGCACGAGTGTGCGGCTGCCCTGCGGGGTGGAGGGTGGAGAACCCAACACCTCGGTTTTCAGTAACTTGCCTCAAATGACACTAAAATTGATGGCGCTGCTAAGACCCAAACCCACACTTGCTTATTTCTAATCAAGTGCCCCTTCCTGGACCCCAGATGCCCGACTTCTGTTTCCCAGGAGCCAGGATGGGGCAGGCTTAAGAGCCGCTGCAGAGAGAGCCTGGTGGAGCCCCAGGCAGGCCAGGTTTCCCTCTGCAGCAGGCTTTCCCAGCATGCCTAGCGAGTTCTATAAGGGTGATAATTTAGCAGAAATGTTGATTATATGAGTTCTATGCATGTTTATTTTACAAATTCTTGTTGCCGAGCAAAAGCCTCTGCCAGCTCCCCGACATGGCTAATTGCATAATGCTGCTTCTGCCAGCTAAGAGGTGTTTGCTTTAAAATGTTTATGAAGAATGCTCTTATCTTGTCTATCTGATTAAAATTCATTCACAACGTGCGCAATCCGGTTAGACTTGGAAGCAGCGAGTGGAAGGAACGTGAGGGCTGGATGCTATTTTCATCGGAGAAATAGATTCTCAATCTCCTGGGCATTTGAAAATGTAATGAACAGCAGGCCTTGAAGGGAGGTGACAGTGGAGGGTGGGCGCGGTGGCCCGGCGTCGCCATTGGAGACCCACAGCCCTTGGTAAGGGAGGTCTAGCTTTTCCCCAGGGCGTCCTGCCTTCTTCCTGAGAAAGGGGCCCTCCCGTTCTTTGATTTCACTGACCTGTCAGCATCCGCGCACTGCCTTCCGCCTTGCCCGGTCTTAGGGGTATCTGTTTGGGCGTGACTGCAGAATCGCACCCACCCCCACCGAGCCCACAGGAGCTGGGCGGGCTGGCGGGAGACCCCAGACACGTGTCACTCCAGGCCGCGGCCGGAGCCCTGTCCAGCCTGGACTCGCATCTGTGGCCGAGCAGCCTTCGCTCTGCTGTGCTGGCTCTTCTGCCCTCGCTCCCCCAGCGCTGGCCGCTGGGCGCTCGGGGTACGCTGGCCCAGGGGTTCACAGCCTAGGGGACAACTGGAGACAGTTTTGATTGTCACTACTTGGGGGCTACTGTCATCTACTAGGTAAAGGCCAGGATGCTTCTGCAGTGCACAGGGCGGCCCAGTGTCAAAGGCGCAGGGCCGAGGGACCCCGTCAGATGTCTGTGCCTGGCCTCTGACGTGGGTCATGAAATAGTAGAACTAGGTCTAGGAGGGGTCCTGGCGATTCTCTGTCCTACCCTGTTGTTTTCAGAAGGGCGAGGGCAGGGGAAGCTCACCTGGCCCACACGGCGAGAGGAAGGGGTGCTGGTGCCAGAGCCCCCACGACATCAGGGTGTCAGGGTTCCTGGGTGTGTCCCCTCTGTCCCACAGTATCTCACGGCTCAGGGATAACAGAGTGGTGTGCTTGTGGCGTCACATCCTCCAGCTGGAGGCCAGGCCCGGCTCTCAGCATCTGTCTGCATCCCTCAGTGTCTCCAGCTTTTCTCAGCCCCTCTCCTGGCCCCCGGGCGGGGGCAGGGGGCGGGTGGAGGCTCAGAACTGCACAGCCTGCGCCAGGTTCTGCCACAAGAGGGCACCTGGAAGCCCAAGGGTCTGGGAGGTGGCCCAGCTGCGGCCTCAGCTGGAACCTAATCTGGAGGCCTGGCCTCTCTCTCAGTGTCCTGTGGGCAGGTGGCCCGAGAAAGCTTGTGGCAGGTGGCGGTCAGTGTCTGTGCCCCGCTGGGAGGCAGGAGAGGGCGGCCGATGAACTCCAGCCCAGGGACTGATTCGCCCGGCCCGGTCACATGCGGATGCCGCGGATCAGAGGACGCGTCCTGCCCTCGGGTCTTGTTTCGCATGGAGATGACATGCGTCCTGAGCTGACAGCACTAATGATTATTGGTGGTGTTGGTATTCATTAGTGATTAATAATGCCATACCGTATTGTCATACATTAATAACACTGGAGAATGGAACTAATCAGATGGCGCATAGCTACTGTTTCTTAAGCACCTACTATGTGCCGGGCACTGTCCCCAGGGCCTCGCAGGTGTTCCCCTCCCAGCCACAGTAGTGGGGTAAGGGCTTCATCACCCCCACTTTCCAGATGAGGAAACAGAGGCTCACAGGAGTCTGGGATGTTGTCAGAGGCTCTGAGCGGGGGTCGGGGCCTGAGCCAGCCTGCCTGATTCCAGATCCCATGCTCAGACCTCACATCCCGCCTGCTCCCCAGGCCTCGGACAGACAGATGTTTCTGGAAGGGGGCAGGATGTCAGTGGAGGCCAGTCTGGAATCGCTGATGCACGGGTGTGGGGACTGGAGGCACCTTCAGAGCCTGCAGTACTCTTCTTCCTGAGACTGGGGACACGCAGGAGGGAGCGTGTCTGTGGGATGGGGGGGCTGGGCTCATGTCAGCTGCTGAGGGCTCAGCCTGCCTTGGTATTTGGGGTTCAGACCCATTGCTTTCAGGGCTCAGATTTTTGCATGGTCACTCTTTTTCCTTTTTGCTGTGTAGGGGGCAGATGGCATCCGTGGTCTGAAGGGTACCAAGGGCGAGAAGGTGAGTGTCCCTTCCTTCATGCCATGGTGGCCCGGCCGGGCCCAGAGCTGGGTTCCTTTGGTGTCAGCTGAGGTTGATGTTGCCTCTGAGTATTGATGGAATTGATACCACCCTGGGGGACAGACCGTTTGCAAAAGGACAACAAGTGGAGGAGTGCAGGCCCTCAGAGCCGTGGGTGTGTCCTGGCGGGGCCCAGGGGTTGGGGCTTTACGGCACTGCCCAAGGCCGAGTCCTTGGCCAGATGCAGCCCACAGCCCCCCACTCTCCTGCAGAGGCCAGCAGATGCCCCAGCGCCCCTCCCAGGCAGGCTGCATTGCAAAGCAGCTGGCAAACAGGTCCATTTAGTTGTTAGATGCTCTTCCCGGGCAGCCTTCAAGCTTCAGCAGAGCTGGGAGGAGAGGGAAAGCGGGCACCCCAGCGCCTCCGGCTGGGCAGGCATGGATCCTAGTCTGTGGAACCTGGTGTCCTCAAGGTGGCACCTGGCTGGATGACACAGACTGGACCGTCTCTGCCCCGTGGTGTTGGCTAGTCTTTCTTGCCTGGTCCTGCTCTCAGCAGCCACTTTGTAGAAAAAGCAGACACACCCCCGTGCTGCCTCGGTTCATCCTGAAAGTTGTCCAGAGCAAAGCAGAGCCCTGAGCACAGCTTCTGAACGACCCACCCTCAGCCTGGGGGCCTTGGGAAGCGAGGGAACCCTCCCGAGGACTCAGATTCCCTGCAGAGCAGTTGTCTCCACTGGCAGGCCTCCATCACTGAACTCCCATCCCGTTGGTCCCAGGACCTTCGTCCTGTTGAAGGTGGCTCCCCAGAGCCCAGGTTGGTCACATTTGTCCCTTAGCCAGAGACAGGGCTGCTTGAGAGAATGTCGACCGGCTTGCACGGAGAACGCCTGTTGGCCGGGAGAGTGACTGCTCTGTCCCCGAGGGGCCCTGGAAGCAGCCAGAGGTGGGAGGGGGTGAGGAGCCCGTCTCTGGACTTCAGCAGTAACGAGGCCACGGCCGGCGAGCACCGTGATGGGCCCGGGGCCTGGCGGCCGGCTGGAGACGACCGAAGCCTCAACCCGGCTGAGAAGCTGCCTCCCTCCATGTGCAACTCCGGCCGGCCTTGAAGCTCACATCCAGGCCGCGTTTTCCAGAGCTGGACAGACAAGCACAGGATGCCGGTTCTGGGGACCAGGGAAAGGACGCCTGCCAAGGCCCCGCCCCCAGAGCCAAGTGGCCCCATGCGCCACGTCCTAGGGCTCCCTCTCTGTGGTTCCTGACTGGGAAAGTCCAGGCTGGGAACCTGAGTGGACAGCAGGCCACGGACATTTGCAAATCCCCAGATGTGTGCAGCTCCCCCCAAAAAGTGCAGGGCTGCATAACTGAGAACAGAGGGCCACCTGCTCGTCTGGCCCAGCCCACAGGCCCTTCCTGGCAGACGCCCATTCCTTTCAGAGAGGAGGTGCAGTAGCAGCCTGGTTTCCCTTGGGGGCATTTTCCATCCAGCTCCCCCCTCAAATGTTCACTACTCTCTGCCACTCCATCGTGGACACGACGGAGCCACTGTGACAAACGGATGCCAAGCGCCGGCCTGCTCACTGCCCCATGGTGCCAAGCTGTCAAATTTAAGCGGGGCCCAGCCAGCTGCAGGGCGCTGAGCCAGCCAGGACCACGGAACTTTATGTCTGTGACTGCAAAGCACTAACGGGACACACTTCACAAGGGACAAGGGACTGGGCACCCGGCGAGTCCTGCGCCTGTGCTGCGGCCCAGAGGCCCTGGGTCGGGGGACCGTGTGCTGCGTGTGCCGTGGGTAAGCCATCCTGGGGTGTTCTTCCATGTAGACCGAGGCTCCCTCTCTCGTCCCTCGTGCAGGGGGAAGACGGCTTTCCCGGGTTTAAAGGAGACATGGGCATCAAAGGCGATCGGGTAAGTATCCGGGGGAGGGGAGGGTGGGCTGAGTGCGAGACCCCATGGGAATCTGTAGGGGGTCTGGGCTGTTTGGGGCCACAGGGCAGCTTCTCAGGACCCAGGTGACACCTCTGTGGACTTCCTGGTCCGCAGGCGGGGACAGCTGGGTGCCCAGAGGCCTGGCTCTCCGTCTCCTCCATAGCTTTCATTCTGGAGGCCACAGCAGCTCTCACCTGGTATGAACCCCTAATTACTGGGGTCAGCTTGTGTCTCCTGCCCCTCTGCCCTGTGTCCTGACCCTGCACAGGTGGGTCAGTGGGGACCAGTGCTCTGGGTTGCAGAGCAATTCCTTTGACACAAGCGAGGTGTCTGTGGGGAGAGGACAGAGGCTGCAGCCATGGCCCGGTCTAAGCAGGGAGCACAGCAGCCTGCCCAAGGCCTCAGGCCGGTCACCAGCAGGGCAGCACCCTCAGCCTTTAGGGCACCTTGGCCCCCAAACCTCTCTTTAGTGCTTTCTAGGACCCCCACGTCGTCCCTGTGTTCTGTGACCCCATGCTGGGCTCAGCATACCTGGCAACAGCCTAGTCTTCTCGTAATGACTAATTTATCTCAGCTCAGAGAAAGCGGTGGGTGCCGGAGGAGGGTGGGGTTTGCTCACGTGGCAGGCGCCCGGCAGATGGCCACTGGCTGTGTTTTCGGTGAGTGAGCAGAGGTGATGCCAACGGCCCTGCCAAAGGTTCTCTTCGTGGGCCAGCCGCCTGCTGGGTGTGGACACTTTGAAGTCTCCCTCACAGCTTCGAAAGAGGCAGAAGGAAAGTAGGTGCCAGTGCCATCCCGTGGGCACAGCGGTGGCAGCAGCTGTCCCCACACCTGGCCGGACGCCTTTCAGCTGCTGTAATTATTCCCCTATGAAGCGGGCCTGCAGGCGCCTTCCCTGAAGATGCTGGAACCCAAGAGCCTGTGCCCTGGCGCTTTGTCCCAAACTGAAAAGGCAGAGGCGGTCTGTGCCCGCATGAGACGGAGGGGGAACAAAAGAGACAGATTCATTTCGCGATGATGTCCCAGTTATGTTGCTGCTAAAGATAGCCATTCGAGAACATTCTCCATGGTGGCATACCCCGAGTCCTCATATCTAAGGAAGGGACCTCCCTCAGTTTGGCTGGTGAAAGTCCCTTTTATCCTGTCTCTTTGACAACTCGAATTTGGGGTCCATATTAGGAAGGCACATTTTCAAAAGCCAGTCCGTGGTTGCATGCCTCTCTGTGAGCTGGCCTCTTGTTGGAATGGATGGGGACAGGGCCCAGGAGCGAGGACACTTTGTCAGCCAGGGAACAAGTGTCATCAGGCCCATTTCCCCCAGAGAGGGATTTCTGCCCTGCGCTTGGCATCTCCTAGGTGCTCGGTAAACATGCAAAGGATGATTTTGTTGAACAAGAAAAACAAAGGGGCTCTTCTTAGGGACAGAGAGTTCTCCACCCGCAGACAAATGGGGGCTTAAGAATAAGGGATTTACTAATCTTTCTTATCTGTGCCACACACATTTTTGTCGGGGGTTTGCACAGCTGTCCTGCAGCTGCTCCTGGGAACCAGAGGTCAGAGGGGGACTCGTCAGTGGGTGCGGAGGTCCAGGGTGGGCGCTCAGAGGCGAGGCCCGGGCCCTGAGGCCGTCTTCCCTGTCTGGGCCCAGGCTGCACCTTCTGTAACCTGGGCAGGTGGATGAGGCAGTATTCGGGCCCCTTCCTTCCCTGGGATACATGCTGGGGTCTCCTGTGTGCCAGCTATGCCCATGGGCCGCAGTCCATCATGACACCTCCTGGGGTTTCAGGAACAGACACAGCCCCTTCTCCCCCACGGTGTACGGGTTATTCTGCCCAAACTGGGGAAGTAGCAATTCCCCAAAGTTATTTCAGGCAAGAGGCCCTTGATTTAGAGAAGGTAATCGGGGAGCAGGAGCGTGTGGCCCTGAGAAATGGCCGGCCAGCCTCTGTGCAGAGGGAAGTGTGGCCGTCCAGCAGGGCGCTGGGATCCGCTGCACGAGGCTCTGGTCTTGTCAGGACACGAGGAGGCTTCATCTGCTTGAGGGAGCCCTGGGCCGAGCTGACCGAGCGGCTCTAACCACAGGAGGCCTGAGATCCAACCTCTCACTCCCAGAATGGTGGTGGGAGTCGTGGGGGTGGGGGGTGAAGACGGTGGGGTATCCCTCACCTGCCCTTTTCTGACTTTCAGGGTGAGATTGGCCCACCTGGTCCCAGAGGGGAAGATGGCCCCGAAGGCCCGAAAGGTCGCGGAGGTCCGAACGGTGACCCAGGTCCTCTGGGACCCTCAGGGGAGAAGGTACGTGACACAGGGTGCTCTACCACTTCCTGGGGATGGCCTTTCCCCGTGGCCTCAGGCGTCCGGGCTGCTGACTTTGTCTGGCTGAGCCCCCTGGATGGGGGGTGTGGCTCCTGACGCAGTCCCATGCCCGCCACCCGGACACGCTTGCCAACCCCCCAGCGAGTGTGTTGACAGATCTGCTTCTTCCTTGTCCTGAGATTGGTCTTTCTGGGCCTTTGCCAGTTCCCGGAAGAGCCCCCTCGTCCAGGTGCTCACGGGCGTGGGGTCTGCGCCTGGCAGCCACGCACACCAGCTTTCAAGGGCAACTCCATGTGCCGCTGTCCTGATACCTCCCGCTTCCCGGCTGCAGAACACTGCCCACCTGCCATCGTGTCCCTGTCACCTCACCCTTAGTCCAGGCACGGGAATGGGCTCATAAGCCCAAACGTCCTGCCCCAAGGCCAGAAGTTTTCCACAAAAGCTTAAGCAAAGTCTAGTGGGTAGAGAATCCTAGCCCAACCTCTGCCGCCACCACTTGGGCTTCAGCGACGGCATCGATCCCTTCACGCGGGGCCTTTGCTTGTAAATCAGGGCCGGGGTTACCGGAGAGACTATCCCAAAAGGACAGGGGCTCTCCGCGATGACCGTGACCTTCGAGAAACACCACGCCAGCCGTGTAATGCAGCAACTTTTTCTCCCCAGGGAAAACTCGGCGTCCCAGGGCTGCCGGGCTACCCAGGAAGACAAGGGCCAAAGGTAATCTACGACAGGGTGCGCCACCAGCCCCCTCCCTGCCCTGCGCTTTGTCGCCCATTTGCCATCTCTCACGTGGCTGCAATGACAAAACAGCGTGTCTCATTCCCGTTCCCGTACCTCTCAGCGCTGCCTGTATAGAGCCTCTGCGTTCATTGGCAGGGTCGGCAGAAGGTGTTGGCCAATTAGTTGAGCCTTTCAGAGAACGGGCTTCGTCTGAGCTGTGGGCCGCACCTCAGCGTCCTCGGGCCGGGCCCTCTTAGGGGTTTTGTCCACGGGCTTCCACACCCAAGACTCATGATTGACACCTTTCTTGGCTCTGATTCACGCTGGAGATTTGAAGGTTATTTGCTCATAACTGGGTGTAAAAGAAAGATAGAACCTTTTTCATAGGAAATCATGTTCTTCTTTAAGTGAAAGAGCTCCTTAAGGCTTTGGAAATCCTTTAAAACATTATTCTCTTTTCAAATCTCACCTTTTATTATTCATGGTTCTTCCTTAAAAAATAACCAGCTGCCTGCACGGGAGATAAATTAAGCACAAAGGAGAGCTGTCTCTCAAGTCTGCTCCTCCGTGCCTGCCTTCCTCTGGCTCAGGCCGGTTCAGACTCCCACCCCGTCCTGTTACCAGACGGGCCGGTGGGCTGGGCGCACCTCTAGCTACTGCTGCTCTGGTTAAGGACGTGCCCAGCTCCGTCCTTCTGTGGGCACTCATGTCCACATTCGGTGTGCCAACCCACACCCACTGTGCAGGGGCGCAATTCGCTGTGACGCAGGAATTTTGTTTAGGGCCTGGCAGTGGGGCATAGAACACACTGTGACGTGGCTGCCTACTGGTGGCGCCCACCTTATGTCAGATGAAGAGGAGCTGAGGGACACGTTTTCCCTTTGGGGAGCAGAGGAGAGAAGAGGAGAAGTTTGGGAGAGGTGGGGGTCTATAGGTCAAGTTCGGGCAGCCTTTTGGAAGGGCAGGGGTGGACCTTGAAAGCTGCTTAGACAGTTTTGAGTCCTTGGGCAGTGAGTGGATGCAGCCAGGCTCTCCGGCACGGTGACCCAGCCTCTGAACTGAGCGCTATGAAACCAGCACCCCAGGTTTCCTCAGGACAGCCTCCTGCCTGATAGCGGTGGGCATATGGGGGGGTTGGCCAAGCTAAGCCCGTGTGAGAAGTCCAAGGTTAAAATTGGCAAACTTTTCATGGTCCGAGCTCATGTTCGGGTCAGGATTTTAAGCCACTTAGAGAATAGAGAGCTCTGGAGATGGTGAGCGCCTCCTGTGGGCGGGTGACAAGCCCCGGACAGTGTCACAGGTGAGCCCACGTAGTAGGTGTTCGGATATTTGCTAAATCAAAGTCCTTAGTCTCATCTTCTGCCCACGTACACCTTGTAGGTTTCTAGAATTAAATAGCTGTTAGATGCTACATTCGGTGCATGAATTTGCATTCATTTCTGACTTTACAAGCTGCCATGCTTTATTTAGAGGTGTTCTGGGAAGATCACAAAATATGACAAGGTACAGTAAACAAAATGTCGTAAGTGTGAGATCCGTACACCATCTCCAGTTCATCTTAGCTGTATACATTCCCTTTTCTTCTAAAACACCAGCATTTTGAAGACATGGATGTGTGAGAGGAGGGTGGGGAGAGAGGGAGGAGGGGAAGCGTGGGTAAGACTCCGTTTTGGTTTTTAGATTTGGCGTCTATGAGATGGTTAAGACATGTATATGAAGTGGATAGTGGGTGGGCGGTGGATGGATGGACAGATGGAAGGATGGATGGATGGATGGTTAGATGGTGGGTGGTGGGTGGTGGCTGGTGGCTGGTGGGTGGATGGATGGATGGATGGGTGGTGGATGGTAGATGGATGGCGGGTGGTGGGTGGTGGG